AGAACGTTTCGAGGGAAAACACGCCTGTAAAACAGCAGCGCGGTGGCAAACGCTGGTCGATACCGCGCCCACGGCGGCTCATCGGACGCCGGTGGAAGCGTTTCGCGTGGCTGACTTGTGCCAGGGCTGAGCGTGAGCGTGCGCTGAGCACGCAGCCGAGGACGGCTCGTCGCTCCCCGCGGGCCGTGGCCGAGGGCTGGGGCCGGTAGCGGAGGAGCGGGACGAGCCGGAGCCGGGGGACGTTGAAAGTAACGAAAGTTTCCAAACGTTCCGGCAGGCGCGTTCTGGCGGCGCTGATTGGCGGAGCCCCCCGCGGCACGTGACCGGTAGCCAATGGGGTGGCCGTGTCGCGCCGGGCTGAGGAGAGCTGTGGCTGGCGCGCGGAGCTCGGCGGTTCCTGAGGCGGCGGCGGCGGTGAGAGAGCGGGGCTGCCCTGCGCCCCCCGCCCGGCAGGCTGGCTGGCGGGAGGGAGGGAGGGCAGGCAGCGCTCCGGGGCTTCTCCCTCTGGCGGAGCGCCCTTGCCGCGTGTAGAGGAGGGAAGGGCGGTTTCGGTGCGGGGCAGCCCCTCCCGGTGTCCCTCGTCCTGCAGGGGTAGCCGGGGCGGGGTCGGGGAGGCAAGGGGCGACGGAGCTGGGACTTCGCCTGTGTCCGCGGCCCCCCGCTCCTTCCCGCATCCTGCTTTGCGAACCTGAATCTCCTTCCGCTTCTGGAGTTGCGGTTGCTGGTGGGGAGGGGAGGGGAGCGTGGGAGCCGTGCCCGCTGGCTTAGCTCCCTCCCGGCTTCGTGCTCCGAACGGGAACGGGCAGCCCCAGCGCGCTGCCTGGCGGACCTCTTGGCTTGCAGCTGGAAGCGTCAAGGTCGGGCGTTTCAGGAGTGACAGCTTTAAGGCGTTTCCTTAGGAGTCACTGGGAACTCGAAAGTATTGGAGCTGGACTGGTATCTGAGAAGATGAGGGCTTTGCTGGATTAAGCCTTTTGGTAGAGAAGACCCTGAGGAGATAAACTCTTTTCAGTGCTGGCTGTAGGATTCTGTAGTAATCCTGGCACTCCCATGACCTCTTCCTTTTCTTTCTCTCTTGTGGTGATTTTCTTTTGTATTGCTTAAACAAAAGAAAATAGGCCCTTATGTTACAGGAAGAGCCTTGCAAGGAGACTATTTTAAGAAAAATGTAATTTTCATAGGATGGGAAGGCTACTTTTCAGGAGCAAAGAGGAGTTTTCTTTTGGTTTACAATTAGGAAAAAAATGTCTAATAGGAGCTTCATCCTCTCTATATGGTACTGTTTTACCTTTACTTTTTTATTACAATATGGGGTTCTCTGACTCACATCAGGCATTGTTACAAAGGTAGGCCAATGTTGTTCACCAAGCTAAAATGTTCTTTTTCTTAAAAAAAAAAATTCGCTCTGCAGGGTTGTTTTGAGTCCTTTATTCTAGGACTGAAATAATCTGAGTTGAGGTCCTCATGAATTTGGTGAACTCAAACTCTGATTCCCAAATTGAAGTTGCTTCAATAATTTTGTGTGGGGCTTTTAATGTGGGGGTTTTTTTTCCCTTAAGAATTTTGCAATTCTGCTCTCACTTGTATGAAATTGCTTCCTGCAACATTTATGCTGAGGTATTTTTCTCCTTGCAGAAGTCCATTCCCCACCTATGAACGCTTCCACTTCCTGTATGATGTAGATAGAAGTTTTGTGATGTCTGTGACCAGCACTTGTGATGCTTGCATGCAGGAAGTCTGACCAGATGTCTCTTCCGGCTTTGTGTGTGTGAAAACAAGTAAGGTGCAGCCAGTGTGTGCCTGCTGTAGGCTGTGACTTTCTCTCCTTGTTTTTTCCACATTTGCCAATGTTTAACAAAACATAGCTAAAACCTCCTTCACCCCCCTGGCCCTCCTCCCTCTTGTAGTGAGCCTAGACAATGAGGAGTTCCCAACTGGTGTAATTAATTACTCTCCAGGCATTTTGCATGCTGTTCCCAAGCTGTTAAAATCAAGGGAAGACAGCAGCGGAGGAAAACAGAAAGTCAAAGCCCTACCCTTTCTGCAGGCAGTTTAGAAAGATTCATGTGAGCTTGGGTTGGTTTTTTTTTAAACAAATTCCAGAAAAAAAGCCTTAATACTTTGTCTAAAACATGGAATTTTTCTTTTCAGTTTAACTTTGTACCTTGCATCTTTGGTTAGTTTGAAAATCCCCGTGAGCTAAGATGTAATGCAGGTGTACAGAGAACCTAATAGGGCTTCCTCATGTGTTGCAGACAAAAAACATGTGCCTGTGGCATTGGACAGTAGTGAAACAATCTCTGCCATGTTGTGTCATCTCTGTGGCATAAGTATAGGTCCACAGTCCCTCCATATATTTGCAGTTTAACAGTTAATTTTAAATTATAAGTACTATTTAGTAATGGGTAACCATGAAACAGAGCGTACTCTTAACGGATAACATCCTTAGTGGGTCCATAATCTCATGTTTACAAAGACATACTTAGAAACCGAGGGGGACAGCATCTTTATTCTTCTGTGAACATTATCAAGGTTCTGTGGAACTCTTATAAAGCTTACGGCTTGGTTAGGGAAAGTTCTTTTGTATGTGACCAAACAATCTTAAAAAATGCAAGTTAGTACATTCTTTCAGTCCTTCCAAAGTGCAGTGTAAAAGCACACGTGAGAGCCAGATGTGAGCATATTCAAGCTTTTGAGGCCACAGGGAGCTGTGTCTTTTGGTTCCCAAGGGTTGTTTGAAAGCTTTATGGAGCAAGATGTCTTGCGTTCCATCTTTATCTTGTCCGACTTCTTTTTGTTGATGCTCTGAACACAGATATGGGATTTATTGTAACGCTTGTGTCAGAAGAATTCCTCTTTGGAGAATTCTGAAGTATATTTTAATTTGTGTAGCAAAACCAGGCATACCCTGGGTGAAATCTCTGTTCCTGAAGAAATACAGAAACTTCCTGTTGTCTGATTGGTGAGACCATCTAAAGGAAACTCTGACTTGCTGTTCTCTGGAGTGGTTTAACCACAGTAATGGATGCTGATCCTTCTTGGTTTCTCACTGCACCTGCATCACTTCTTTGTGTCTGACCCTCCCTCATCTGTAAAAGAGAAAATTTTCTTTCTTCACAAGTGTGGTGCAAGGATTGAAGTGTGTGTACACAGTGCCTTGAGCATAAGGACATGCTCGTTAACATCAAAGGCACTTTCAGATAGCTTAAAAATAATACAGTAGATGTGTTGTAAACTTCCTAGGTCAAGAATGTTAATTATGCTTGGTCATGATTTTCTTCTTAATGGGCAAGGGTACTATTTGGAAAAATCACTTCTCCTTACTCACACTCCTTTTCCTCTCTTTTTCCCCAGTGCATACTTCTGTAAATACATACAAAGAGCAGCAGCCTTGAGACTTCTTGCTGGGAGTGTGTCAGTGCATTACACAGTGGTTTTATTTGTTAGAAGGAAGACACGTAGCTTTGCCTAATTAACATTTTCTGTCAAGAAACTGAATTGTAAAAACTAAAGCTTAGTAACTTTTCCCCTCACCTGCCAGGTCCCCTTCTAAATAATAGTGTAACTTCTGTGAGTGTGTAGCTGATGCTGTGCATTGAGGTGTGTGGGCACAGCCCACTTAGCTGTGACAGCTGCTTACTTTTTGCTCAATAGTCTCCTGAAAATTGCCTAGGCTGTGAAAAGGTCTTGTGCTTTGCAGCATTGCTTGGGTATGTAAGAACTGGGCTTTAGATTGCTAGACTATGAGTACTTGATACTGTTGTCTGTAGTAGAGGTAAGAACTCCGTATGTTTGTCTCAGTAGAGTTACTAGGTAGATGGCTGTTAATCCTGTTTAAACCAGGTGATTTTCTGGAGAGGAAAGTCTCAACACAGGTTGTGAATAATTTTTTCCATTGAGTTCAATAGATGTGCAGTAGATGCACATTTGCTTTAGCTATGACATGCTGCTCAGGTGGTCTACTCCAGCATTTCCTGAGTATCACAAATAAGAAGCGTAGAAGGCAGGACTGACATCTAAATGGTAGTTGAAGGCTTTGGCATATTTCCAACCATGTTATCCAGAGCATTAGGTTTGATGTTTCTCCATTGTCAAGACTAACTCCTATAAAATGATATTTGCTAGTGACCTGTTTATTAGAGTGCATCATACATGTCAGAGGGCATTTATTTAATTGGGCTGTCTAGCTACTTAAGTCTTCAAGCGGGAGTGACCAGCTTAAGGTTCTTGATTCCCTTGTGGCTCTTACATGTGTCATTCCCATTTGGGACTATGTCCTGTGACTGGGTTTATGCTGGTACAGGGACAGCTGGATGGTCTGGATTGCTCACTGGGTTGCTGCAATCTATCTGCATACCTAGTCCAGCCAGGTGGTATCCCACTAAAACCTCCGTGGAGCTTCTATCCTCACTTCCCTGGGAATTTCTGGAGCCCCCTTCTCCCATGGCTTTCTGAGGTATCCAGATATATTGTGGCTCTCAGCCATACATGGCTTGTGATGTTTTAGGCTTAAAGTCAGGTAGCTTTGTCTATGTTGACCAGGGAGAAATTTTTCATGTGTCCAGCAGTTACATGTATGAAAAGCTTAGGTGTTCTGGAAGTGTTAGCAGAAGAAACTAGTAACTTGAGTGACTTATCTGTGTCTCTTTGAAGTTTCTCTTGAATTTCATGGTAAGTGTCTTTAGGACTGTTGAAATCGACCTTAATTGCGCTGTCTTTGGAGCTGAAGTTGTGCCTGATATGTCTTCTCCTCCACTTGTGTTCTGTGTGCTTTAGCACAGCTGCAGCTAAAGTTTGAGGTTTGGTGCTCTGTGCTGTGTAGTCAGAGGGTGGGGAAGGTGCTCACTGCTGGGGATGTGGTGTAAGCATGCAGCAGCTTTGGGAGAACTGGGGAAAGGGACCTGATTACTCAGTAGTGATTCTTTCACATTTATGGTGTATCTGACAGAGCCCTGTCAAGGCTGGTTTTTAGTTTGGTGTCCAGGTGTTCAATCACTTCCTGGGAGGAGGGGTGCACTGCTCTGCAGCAAAAAGTATTGAGGTAGCTCACTGCATTAGTTCTTATGCTTGATCCCTTAGTTTTCCAGGGTGGGGAAATGAAACAGGAGTTTTAAACTTTGAGGACTCATCATGGAAGACTCTGAAGGATGTCACTTCAGCTCAGTGGAAGAGGAAAACAGATACTGGAAAGACCTGGCTATGAAATACAAGCAGTGGTAAGGCAGTGGCTTCATTCCTTTAAGTTGTTTGGTAGGGTGCATAACACTGTATGCAACGACATAGATAGCACCGCATAGGGGAGTAAATTAAAAGGTGGCTCAGCTATCTTGAGTGGTAGCAGTAGTGATACTTCTGTCTAAACTACAGCAGCCCAAAGTCTGTTATGCTTATTTGAGCAGTGAATCTATGCTGCTGTGGCACTGCTGATTTTGGTCCCTGCTGTGGTTTGAGTAGGACGGTGTGTGCTGAAATTGTGCCTCTGACTGCAGTCTGCGGGCAGCCCAGCTAAATGTAACTCACTGCAGAGCCTTACTGGGGGTGGAGATCCAGGCCATTGCAGAGAGATGCTGCTGTTCACTCTTTATATCTCTATGTGGATCAAGAATGATTTGACAGCATGTAGATGGAGGAGGATCCCTGGCTGAGAATGGACATGCTTTGCTCTTGCCTTTAGCTCAGAGTGTTGTTCTAAATGCAGTAAAGGGTGGAAAAAAATCCAAACTTTTTAGATGCTGATATTGGTGGGTTCTTTCCTAGACCAGGTGTTCAGACCTTTCAGTGCTGCTTGTTTAGCTTGCTGGAGGATTATTTCAATAGAATTGTTTAAGAGTATAAGAACATCTTTCCGTCCATCTTTCTATCTTTTTCTCACTTTTTATTGCTAATTGAAAATGGCATTGTTCATATTTCCAAATAATTGAATTGAATGAGAGATTAAATACGCAGATGGCAATGGACAGTGTACAAGCTAAAGAGACTCCACATGGCCTCAACACCTATTGTGTGAAGACAGACTTCAGGATTTTTCTATTTATTTGTGCTTTTTTTATTTGTTTACCAGTTTGCTATGAGGTGGCTTTCCATGCTTGATGGGGAAACATTGGCATATGGTCCTCTCTTCGTCTTGAATATGTATATTGGAGAAGGGCATAGAGCCTTCTGTGTTAAAGGGCAGTATTTTTTTTACATTGAGTGTACAGGAGGTTTTTTTTCTTTTTTCATTATGATAAGTTCTGTTGCTGGAATTGCTCTCTAGTGCTGAGAATACGCAGGAGGAATTGCGTGAATTCCAAGAAGGGAGTCGAGAGTATGAAGCTGAACTGGAGACTCAGCTGCAGCAAACAGAGTCCAGAAACAGAGACCTTTTGTCAGAAAACAATCGTCTGCGAATGGAACTGGAGTCAGTTAAGGTAAGAGTGGATGATGCATACAGTATCTGTACATCCTAAGTGCAAAGGTGAATGAGACAGGCACATGCAGATTCAGTCTACCTTGTGGACAGGAACCTTCAGCATTACAAAGAAACTGAGCAGAAAACTACAAAAAAGAGAGTCTTGAAAAATTAAGAAATACCAATCTGTTGTCTGCTTTGAGGGTGCTGGATACCTTGGTAATGTTCCTGAACCCCTGTTCACAGGTTGTGGCTATGTGTCAGGATAGATTTGAGGTGGGAGAAAATTGCTTGCAGTAGAGTGGAGAATAAACACGAACATAACCGAGCTGCTGTTCTACTCCTTCTTCCATCTTAGTGCTTTTGTTCACAGCTGTCTTGCTGTCCTCATTGTACGGACACAGATAATATCGCAGAACAATCAAAATACAAACATGCCAGCTGTGTTCTTTCATTACACAAGAAAACTCAGTAGTTTTAAACCCTTTTTACATAGTTGTGCATTTATTATCTGGTGTTCCAGATAAAGGGGGAAGCAGCAGCTGGTGGGTAGTGTGTAGAACTGAGAGGCATAAAACAGTTTCAGCCCTGGTTTTGTTACTGAATCTGTCTGTACTTGGGGAAAAATAATTTATCCTTTTTACACTTGGTGAGCCTTCTGTGAAACTAAGAACCAGCTGAAAAGCATTAACTTCCATAATTGCCAAACATAAGGGATATGAACTTATTGAGATAGAACTTCTTACCAGAGTGACTTAAGAAATAATGAAGCTATCCAGAGTATAAACAGTGATAAGTCTGCCTCATTTCAGTCTCATTAAAGATGCCACTATTCCCCTGTGCTGGTTGGCAGGTTTAGGAAATACTGGTAAGTTTTCTTAAACTTGAAAAAAAATTGTCACTGAAATTGGTGTGCCTTTTTAAAGTTTGATCTTGTTGGCCTTTTGATTAAGGGTGAGGTATAGTCACCTAAGAAGCACTACACTGTATTTTGTAGGGCTAGGTCAATATCTGTGGAAGCAGAGATTAATTTAATTACACTTCTACTCAACTGAATGCAATAATGAGCTAATGGGAGTGAAGGTATTTGTATAAGTGATTAATCACTGGATTAATCCAGGTTTGTAATGCCTTTTGTCTGAATTGTTGTCCAAATTACTGTATTAAGGAAACACTCTTCTGTTCCGGGCAGATGTCCTGTCCCTCTAGACTACCAACTTAGTGATCTACACACCCCCACCCCCCACCCCAGCTTTTGATAGCAAAACCTCCAAGGCTTGTTTCATTGTATTTGTTATGTTGCACTGATCTTTGTTCTTGTTGTATTCCTGCCTTAGCAGTATTAAATGCTCTGCATGTTGTATGCTGTATAGGTCTACTGTTCCACATAGCCACATAAACCCGTGGAAGCTGATGGGTTTGGGGAGAAAGCAGTTTGACAAAAATAAAACCTGCAGCTCATTTAATTGAGAAGGGCGTGGGCTATTTTCTTTCTTTAGAGGAGCAAGGATGAGAGGAGGGGACAATGAACTAGGCAAAGCAGTTAAGAGTGAAGATAGTGGGAAAGAACAATGAACCTCAGAAAGTGGAAGGTAAACATATTTTAGAAAATCTTAAATTGTTCTTCACAGTAGATAACTTTATTAAAACATATTTTGCTTGAAACGAACCTTTTAACAATGGGCTATTCATGCAGCTTGAAAACTGCAGTAACAGACTGCAGTGAAGGAACAGAGACTCCATTGATGGCCAGATCAGCTGATAGTTTATTACAATTGGCTAAAAACAAAGACCTCAAACCTTGCAGTTCTGGTCTTTTATCTGAGTCAATTCAAGAGCAAAGCATTAAACTCGTGAAGCTATTGAGCAGCAGTGTTAACTGAGCCCACCAGGGGTTGGTGTCTGCATCTAGGTCAACATTAGTGAACTTTGCCCACACAGCTCGTGGGTTTGAGCTTACCAGCCCGGTGTGTGTGCGTGCTTCCTCCTCAAAAAACAGAGTTCACGCTACCTAAAAATAAATTGAAATAATGCTTTGGAGGGTTTAGAGAGTCCTGAAAAGCTAGTTGAAAGTAACCTGCTTCTTAGAGCTTGGGGGCTGTTAAATTCAGGATGTGACTATGCCTCAGAGATCCAGAATTATAGTAGTGTCACCACACTGTAATCAGATAAGAATTTCTTAATTCAGAATGGGTATCTCTTTCTCTCCTCCTTGCCTATGCATTTCATGTTCTAAAATAGCTGTCTTCAAATTATCAGTCATGCTAGACTATATGCCATGGTTTTCAAATTCCAGTGCTGGATTTGTTTTCAGTGACTTCAAGTGTTTTGTACTTAAATTCTGGATGGAGAAAGCATTTCAGGAATGCTACTTATACAGCAATCTTGGAGTTTCAAAAAAATCTCTGGCATGTTGAAGTGATCTGATAGCAAGGTGGTGGAGTATAAAGCGTTACAGTAGACTGCACTGTGAAGTGTTCCCTATCGCATGATGCAGAGCTAACGCCGCATATAGTGGCAATAGCGGAAGAGATATGTGATAGAGAAGCTAAGCCTTCCTCCCTGCCTGTGCCTCTTTTAAATGTACCCTTGTGTACATGTTGTAAAAGGAAACTGTTTTAGGTTCACATTCAAAGCATGTTGCATAACTGCATCTGAAATGTCTTGTGATCTAGAACTCTGAACCTGCTTTGGGCTAATAAAACCATAGGGACACTGGAGAATCCTGCTGGTTCCACAGCAGTATGTAACAGTGGCACACTTGGATTTTTTTTTTTCTTGTTATTTAGGCTCCTAAGTACTGCTTGACACTTCATTAGAATTGAAAATAAGTGGCTTGTCTTGCATCCTGCTTTGTGTGTTGCTAAAGCTCTTGGAGCTCAGAAATTAGGCTGAGTCTCGCTGTCTGTGAGAGCAAGGAATGGCCCTGTGCTGTGAAGGTCAGGAACTGCTTTGCAGCACCATTGTTTGGTAAGGAGCGTGACAGGAAGAGCTCTTGTCTGCTGGCAGCCCAGAAGTATGTGAGCAATTGGCTTTGTTGGCATTTTACCATATGTAAGGTGATGTTTCTCAAAAAAACTTCACAGCATCTGCCTCTGCCTTTAAAGGGGCTCAGACAATGCCACAGAAAGAATGTGCATTGCTAAGTCCCTGATATGCTATTTGATTTGCCTTTGATTAGGAAAAGATTGAAATGCAGCATTCAGAAGGATACAGGCAAATCTCTGCGCTGGAAGATGACTTGGCACAGACAAAAGCTATTAAAGACCAACTTCAGAAATACATTCGAGAACTTGAGCAAGCAAATGATGACTTGGAAAGAGCAAAAAGGTGACCCACCTTCTGTGTTTTCTTTTTCCACCTCTGTCTTGTCCTGTGAGGTGGTGTCACTGAGCTGTTTGTGGTGCTGTGCTCATTAGCACTGCCATTCTAAACTAATCACTTAGGTGATGATTTTGGTGAAGAGGTTTGTGGCAGATGGGAAAGTGATAAATGTTTTTTTCCTCTTCCACTCCCCCACTGTGCTCTTTCATATCCTACAAGCTAAAATAAATTTAAAAAAAATAAAGCAAACCAAACAAAAATGCAACAATATCCCTTTTCTTGTGAGAGAGGGAGTTCCTCTATGTGCTTGAAGGATCTGGTAGTGACATCTTGTGCACTCTTTTTCAGAGCCACTATAATGTCTCTGGAGGATTTTGAACAGCGTTTAAACCAAGCTATTGAAAGAAATGCTTTTCTGGAGAGTGAGCTGGATGAGAAGGAAAACCTTCTGGAGTCTGTGCAGCGCCTGAAAGATGAAGCTAGAGGTTAGACAGAAATCACTTGTTTCTTTCCCTTTCTCCCCTCCTGGCTTGTAGCTGTTCAGTCCTCTCCATATATCTTGGAGCTTGGCTTTTAAGTTTGCATCTTTTAAATCTGCTATCTGAAATGTAGAAGCAAATGAGGAAGCTTCAAGACTGTTTCCTGCCTCCCCCCTCTGCCCTCCTCCTTGAACTCCTGACCTTGTTCCCGAGCAGCTCACAGCAGCAAAAGTCTGTTCTAGCCTTCTCCTAATCTGTGGTGATGCTTCAGGGCCTTAGGGGGTTAAGAAGAGCCAGTCCAGCTGGGGCATGTGCTGGTCTGGCTTCCTGTTAACCTGTGAAGGTCAGGTTTAATAACCATTAACCTCATTGTTTCCTGGCCTGTGAAAATTGGAGCCTATGAAACACTAATGGGGCAGTAAAACAGGAGGGCTGTGACTGACTTCTAGTTACCTTTCAATAGCCTCATGTGCTAGCTTCTTGATATCTGTCAGTAAGGCTGGGTGAGAAGAGAGAGACCACGGAGCTGGAAAAACACCTTCCCTTTTCAAATCTGCTCAGGTTCTGTGCCCTTGAGTGGTTTCCATAAGCTACAGCCAGTCTGCGGGACAGAAGTGCTTTATCCTTTGACCAGATAATGGTGTGGCTTCCACCTGGCCTCAGCTCAGGTTTCCTTCATGTGGAAACCAGGGTAGAAGAGAAAAGGGTACAATAAGGAGGATCTCAACCTGGCAGGCAGCTGGAATGTTACCAAGGTATGCCAAGTTGCCTAGCCTCAGTCTTGATGTACCTCTGCTTACCAGCCTGTAACATTTGGAAGGGAGTTAAATCCCTGCCCTAAAGGGAGCCTTGTGAAAGGGTATGAAAATTAAAGCCAGATTAATAGCAACTGAACTAATACTACAAAAACATCTTGAGCCACAATCCTGGAAAAGCCTTTAGTGATCATCCAGATTTTGAACATATGCCTGGAGTAATCTTTAAAAGGATAAGTGACTTGACTTCACCTCCACAAGGGGAAAAATCTGAGCAAAACATTCTCACCTGTTTTTATCTTGGAGAATACATACTCCAAAGGCTTGCTTTGTGTTGCTTCCTTCGTAGATCTACGACAAGAGCTTGCAGTGCAGCAGAAACAGGAGAAACCCAAAACACCAATGCGAACTACCCTGGAAACAGAAAGAATGGACACTGCAGTTCAAGCGTCCTTATCTGTGCCTTCAACTCCTTCAGTGCACCGGGCACCCAACATCAACACACCCACCCCTGCAACATTTAGGAGAGGTGACTGACAGGGAACCAGCACAGAAATATTATCTGATGCTCTTGTTTTTACTGTCGTTTCTGGCTAAAGGAGGAATAAGGGAGCAGAGTTGAGTGTTTCAGTTACATCTAAATCCAGTCACCATGGTCTCAGTATTCGTAGACTGGTTTTTTTGGGGGCTTAGTCATAGGCTGTTCATTTCTGTTTGACTTGAACTGTCCAGTAATAATAATTGAGAGGGACAAGATGAGCTGTCGGGACTGTACTATTAGTTCACAACTGTCCCAGAGATGTTGGGCTAACTTAAGGGAAGGATTTTAAAAACTTCAGTGTGATCTTTAATGTCATAGTCGTGTTACTTGCATTGGCTTCTCTGTGATAGTAGGTGCTCTTTGAGAGAGGCTTTCTTCTTACTCTGAGCAGCAGGACACTGACAAGTCATCCTAGCTCTCTGTACTAAACAACTATATCTCTGCTTTCATGTCAGTAATATCAGTTACTTATTTTTTGTGAGCACTGATTATTTCAATATTTCAAACCTCTAACTCTCCCATCTTCTTACTTAAAAAGCCAGAAGTTTCTGTAACTGTGTTCATCTGTATGCATAAATGCAGGGAGTTGTACTGCCACATTCTGATGATATGATATTATAGCTCTGAGCACTAACACAGTTTGATTGTGGGCTTCAGTATGCTTAACCTAAAATTGTGTTTTGTGTGGAGGAATTAATACTTCTGTAAAAGTGACAGGATTTGGAGATTTGTAGTAAAATGAAAGATGATGGTCATCTCTGAGGACACTTCCCTCTGGTCCCACTGCAGCAGCAGAGATGCAGAGTAGGCTGGTAGAACGGATCTCTAGAAGTCCAAGCCACAGCATATCTAACGACTTTAGCTTAGGACAGTGTAAGTTGAGCTGTCTCAGGGAGACAGTGCTTCATATTCCTAATGGGTATGAAAGATCTGGAGGTGAGATACAAAAAGGTGAACATATTGATGTTTCCCCTGTATGTCAGGCTGTCTTCTGACTTCCAGTGTCAAGGCTTTTTTGTTGTTGTTGTTTTTGTAATGTATCCATATTTAACCTGCCCTGCAGGTCTTGAGGACAGTTACGCTGCAAGCCCTCTCACACCTGCTGCAAGAATATCTGCACTTAACATAGTGGGAGACTTACTGCGAAAAGTGGGGGTGAGTGATTACCTGCTAGCCAATGGTCTTGGAAAGGTAGAGCTGTCTGAAACTGCAGTCAGTGCTATTTGTGCTGTTGCTCAGGGGAGACTGGAAAGAGTATCTTGTCCTCAGGTTAGCTAAGCATGGCCTTGAAATTTGGTCTGGACTTTGTATGTTTCTGACCAACTCCCAAATAAAGATGGACCCTGCTCTGCTTTTCTAAGATTTTATCCACATGGGGATAAAGCCTTCCTCTACAAATTTCCAAAAGCGCATGTGCAGAAAGAATTAATTGGCATGAGTAAATTAAGAAGGGGTCTGCTCCTATGAAAGGCAGAGAAGAAAGCAGGCTGGTGCCTGCTGTCCAGAGGGCTTCTGGTGAAGTTTGAGCAATAGACCAGTAGTCTTTTGAGCAAGGCCTAATGTCATGTTAAGCTGTAGCTTGACACTTAAGGTAGTGCTGATGCTGGAAAAGTTATCCCATTACCTCCTTCTGTTTTCTCCCTTAAGCGCCAGTGCTGTGTTGACACGAGCATTTGTATGACTCTGATGTGCTGAGCTGCAGAACTGATAGAGCTGAAGAATAACCCAGCAACAGAAGTGGAGTGACTTAGGATGGGAGCATGTGATGGAGAATAGGGTATCTGTGGCTCAGTTTCCTCAGATGTACCACCTACTACATACAATCTAATATGTGTCTAGGGAAGCAGATGGCTCAAATGAATACTTAGTGATCTAAAAAATGATGCCTGTAAGAAAGATGTGAAAATCTCCCTGAGGAAGCTGAAGATTTTGTGTTCTTGCTGGTGAACAGCATCAGCTCCTTAACCTCCCCTACAGAAATGGTGATTCAGCTTCTGAGAGATGACTGGCTTCATCTCTTCAAAAACTCAGAACTCATGTGGCACTGGGGTCTAGCAGGTTCCATTACTGGACAACTCATTCTAAAAGAAACACTCCCACCCAGCCCCGCCCCCAACACTCTTAATGCTGTTTTGGTGTGCCACTGCCATCTTGTGAAAGAGAAGGGTGATATCTGACACTTGCCTCATCTCTGTTTACGTTAGGCTTTGGAGTCCAAACTTGCATCTTGCCGAAACTTTGTGTATGACCAGTCTCCAAGCAGAACCACGGTGTCCATGTACATGAACAGAGATGTCCTTGAAACACGCCTGAGTCCTCATCAGCCTCTGTGTGATACAGGGTGAGTGCTGTTCTCTGCTAAGTTGTGTCTTAGTGAGACCTGTTGGTGTTAAACTTAGTGACTGGTGTTGTTCTATTTAGTATTAAATCTTTGTTTTGGTAGAGACAGATTTGTTTTCAAAATACATGAAACTTAGTTATTCAGGATTATGATTTGAGTGTTTCAGATCAGTTTAAAATTTGGATTCACTAGCTGCTGAAATGTGAAGACTACCTGGAATCAAGTTTTGAAAATCACAAATTCAAAGCAAATATAATAACATGTATTTTATTATAAATCCTCTGTTTAAATGGGATGAAGTACAACAGAAGAACTCTTGCTTATTGGCTCAATTTGTTTTATGCTTTACGTTCTTGTACAAGTGATGTCTCAGGAACATTATGGCAGGTAGGGACTTCCCTTATCACAGTTCAAATTCTCATTTATGGGACAACTGGAAAAAAGGCAAATAATGGGTTCACTGAATCAGAATGCTTTATGGGTGCTAAGATGTGTTTCCAAGGAGCAGCTGACAGGAAGTTACCTGACTCAACTTATAAATTTGTCTGAACGCTTGAACTGGTTGTCTTTTTTGAAACAAATGAAGAAAAATCAGCAAGGTTAACGCAAGTTGCAGTTTAGTGTCTGTGTAAACCCTGCCAATGCTGTACTGCACATTGTAGATTCTTTGTAAATTAAGTGCCTATAGTACAGTTTGTTCCAGACTTAATTATTCAGCTAGACCCTTGTGCTGGCAGTGCTGGTTTGTCCTGTTACCCAGTGTCTAAAGTTGTTGTGTGGAAGGAGTGTTCCACATTGTACTTGCTATCCCAGCCTGGGGAGAAATCTCATGAAAGCTCCTACAAGAAAACCTCGAGGGTCATACATTTACATATTCGTGCAGCTGATTATACATCTACCACTGTAATGCTAGAACTGAAATTCCAACACCTGTAAAAGATAGCTTCTCACTACTCAGAGGGAAATGGAGCCCTGTGTTGCAGTGGAAACTCAGCCCAGGTAAGTAACGGGCTCACTTAGTGCTCGGAGTGATATTCTTTTATCTGTTGATTTAAGCTGAGTGGTGTACTCTGGAAGTGACCAGTTACTCTGAAGATGGTAACTATCGTGGTTTAACCCCAGCCAGCAACTAAGCACCACGCAGCTGCTCACTCACTTCCCTCCCACCCAGTGGGATGGGGGAGAGAATTGGAAAAGAAAAAAAAAGTAAAACTCATGGGTTGAGATAAGAACAGTTTAATAGAACAGAGAAGAAACTAATGATGATAACAGCAGCCATAATAAAATGACAATAGTAATAATAAAAGGATTGGAATATACAAGTGATGCACAATGCAATTGCTTGCCACTTTCCGACTGATGCCCAGTTAGTCCCTGAGCGGCGATCCCCCCCACCTCAGTCCCCCCACTTTATATACTAGACGTGATGTCACATGGTATGGAATACCCCGTTGGCCAGTTTGGGTCAGCTGCCCTGGCTGTGACCCCTCCCAACTTCTTGTGCCCCTCCAGCCTTCTTGCTGGCTGCGCATGAGAAGCTGAAAAATCCTTGACTTTAGACTAAGCATTACTTAGCAACAACCAAAAACATCAGTATGTTATCAACATTCTTCTCATACCGAACTCAAAAATATAGCACTGTACCAGCTACTAAGATGACAATTAACTCTATTCCAGCTGAAACCACAACAGTAACGCTGAGCAAGAAAGGCACTAACTTCTTTCTTGTATTTGCAGGTTAGTGAAACGCCTGGAGTTTGGAACACGGCCTTCAAATATTCCGGGACCAATGAGCCATCCCTCACAAAGTGTTGTCAAGATGCTGCTTTGAAAAGCCTGGCTGGCTTTGGCAAAGGGGAAAAAAAAAATTTTAAACTTTAGTTTTAAAGAGAATATCAATGAGCAATCAGGCAGCAATCTTGGGGTAGGTGAGAATGGAGTAAGAAGCTGCAGTTGGCAGTGGCCCCCTGTGGCCTTGCCCAGTCTGGCCTCTTGGCCGAGTTCTGTGGGTAGTGTGATAAAGCAATGCTGCCTAGCAGTGCAGGACTTAGAATTGCTTCCTACATCAGTTGCTCCTTGCAATTTGCTTCTTTTGACACTGCCAGTCAAAGCCATTGTCCCTCTCCCTAAAACAGAGACAGTATTCCCTATGCAGCTCCTCAGGCTTTGGCTTTTGGTGTTAATACAGCACCATGGTGTTCTGGCTTAAATTCTGGTAGTGCTGGCTTTCTATCATGGGTGTTGTGTGCTGCAGTCACCTGAATTAGAGGAGTGGTTTTATGTGGAGAAAGGTGTATTTCTGCTGGGAAGCTGCTCAGCTCTTTGTGGGATGTTTGCTGGTCAGAATCTGGGTACGCAAAAACCTGCCTCTATAGTGGTCAGAGGGTTTTGTAAGCAATGATTTGCCATTAAGAAGAGGTCATGGATAAAGGTGAGGAATGCCTAGTGCATAGCATACTTGGGAGATTCCAGAGCTAACAGCACGATAGGAGACTTTGGACTGGCTTAGCATATAGACATCTCTTTTGCCATATTGTGGCCCCTAAAGCCTGGCTGTTGTAGGAAGCAAGAGACCTGATTAAGTTCCTAGTTGTAACATCTTAATAGGTGGATTTTAATGCTTTCCAAACCTCCCTTTATTAATGTGCCTTGGGTATTAGTGATTTTTTTCTTGTTTAATTTTTTTTCTATGAGAATATATGCTTTCAGCTATTACTAATTTAGAAATAGTTTTTAACCTGAAAAGTACTTTGTGCTAGACAAGTGTATATGAGTAGAGAATTACTTTATAATCAGGTTTTTCCCCTATAAAATATTACTGCATTTTGGGTTGTTTTTTAAGTGGAGTAGGTTCTCTCACAGTATTAATGTACCTTATGGAAGCCTGTACTTACAAATTGTTTAGTCATGATTATTTTTCCATGTTTTTTGTGGGGGGAGTGGTTGGGAGACCTTACCTGACAAAAGAATGCATAAATGGGGTTGGGGGTTTTGGTTGGGGGGGGGTTTATGTTTGGGTTTTTTTAAGAAAATGCTGTGAAAACAGCCACTGATGCATCTGTTTCTCTGGAATAGGAAATAACCACAGGTCATTCCTATCATTCAGGCCATCTACAAAGTTGGCTTAACTGGGGAGCAGAATAAAGCTTATTTTGAATGCTAGTTGTCGATTCATTTTGAGGTTTTTTTGCAAGTTGTCACTGTGGTTTATGCACAGATATTTGCTACCAGTTTCTCATCTGTTTCTGATCAATGAAGCTGAAAGAGACATTGTGTGTTTTGCTGAATCATATGCAAAGATTTTCCTACATCTTTTTTTCTCATGGTTCCTACCCTAAGGAATGTAAATATTTCCATAGCTGAAGATGCCTCTGGGATTTACAGTGCATAGTATTGGCATTGCTTTTTCTTAAAAATCTTGAACTCTGGCTGTTTTAATATGATTTTTGTCCTCTCCTCTCACACAGGGAGTTGACACTTTTTTCTTATCCATGAGGAGCAGAAGCACATGGGCTACTTTGTTAGTTGTGCTGGCGCATGGACTATGGTTCAGTGGACTGTGTAGCCGGGAGGGATCAGTCAAGACAAGTTGCATTTTCCTTATCTTGCCAGAATTTGCCTGCTTGGTGAGCAAATTGACTTGCAGTCAGATTGAGACACAGCATTGAGATAAGGTAGAAAGTTGGAAAATTGTGGCTGTGCTAATATTATATATTTTACAGATATATGTTTTTAATGTGATTACAGATGTAATCAGACAGATGAGGGGTGGGTATGCTATTGAGAATTGTCAAAATAATTTAGTCCAGAACAGCCACCTCTGTAATGGTACAGAGAGGAACTTCAGTTTGGCCACTGTTGCAGAAGGATGCTTTCTGTGGTGTTACTAAAGAAACTCTGACTCTCTGTTTTATCCCTGTTCTGTAGAGCTTGTGACTGGAACTTGAGTTTCTCGAGTGATAGGGCAGTGCTCTAAACACTGGACCAACCTCTTCCATTATGCATGTGAATTTTCTAGATTAATTTCTTTTAGAAGGGCTCCATGTTCAGTTTGTTGGTTCTGCTCCAAGCATTGGTGCTTAAGACCATTCTATATGAAGTCTGACTTCCTTGGTCTCCTTGTTCCCACACATCCAGGCTCACAAGCTCTGTGTTTAACAGCCAGCTCTTGAGCACGTTTACAGAGCTGGGCTGTGTGGCCGAACAAGCAATGAAAAGGTCTTATCCGATGGCTCTTAACCCCCCTCCTCTGCAGCTTGTCACTTAATTGCTCTAAATTTACTTTTAAACTCTTCCTTTACTCTTTCATGAGCAGGGAGAATTCTTTGGGCCCTAATTCTGCTGGCTAAACGTTGCCTGGTCTGAATCTCCAGTTCATGATCTCTTTGCCTTCTGGAACAATGCTTAGATTTAGAAGATGACTGCATTAGCTGTCAATGTGGATGGTTTTTGCATGATTTGCTCTCCCTGCAGTCACACTGCTTAAGATTCACTTGCTGTGCAATGTAAGACATCGAGTAAGCTCTCTGTACTCCATTTAGAGTAATTCTACGCCTGGCTTTGCTGTGCATGGCTCTCTACTGATCCCTTAATGCAGAATAGTTTGGTTTGGATCACTGCATTCAGTGTGGGCTGCTGTTTCTAATTGTTTTCAGCCTGCTTTAGTTGGAAATATCCCTACACTTCAAGGGTGGGTTCAGCTGCCTAAAGACAGACACTTAGGGCCCTGCCTGCTTCTCAGCTGCTGCACCAGAATGCTGCAAGTCTCCTGCAGGTCCTGTGTCATGTCTGTCAGCCCTTGGATACATCCTAGGGCACCTCATTTAGCTCCGTGTGTCCATGAGGTAATCAAACCTGTCCCAAGTACTTCATGTCATTTTACGTTCAGTTCAGTGTACATACTTTTTCTTATTCCTTCAAAAGCAATTGCTTAGGGGAAAATCAGGTTTTTGTTCTAATGATTACAGATGACCTTTTCTAAAAAGTATTTGAGTTGGAAAGAAGCTCTACTGCATCCACCATTCCCTTCAAGCATGCTGTATTGCACCCAAGTGACACCTGTACACAAGAATACTGGAGTAGTTTTTATAGCCCTTTATTAGTGTGTAAGCACATCCACAGTGCATATAAAACTGTAACAGTTGACTTAATTTGAACAAATGATATTTTATTTTTCAGTAAGTGATTAAAAAGGCACTTCCACCTTGTGAACGGTGCATCAAGGGTGTAGTAACCAGGAAAAAACCCTATATTAATCGAATACTCAAGACAATGAAAGTTTAAGAAAAGAATAACTGACCAATGCCTTCCCACCCCTCCCTCCCACCCCTCCGCACCCCTCACAACAGTCTCAAATCCTGTGTAAACTATAGTTCACTGGGATTTAAATCATCTGAGCTACTAGAACTCACTTTCTGTAAGATTCTCAAAGTGTCTTTTAACACTCTGAGTGTTAAAAAAACTCCATCTTTTCAAATACACTTCATGGTAAAACAAGTTTTGGAGTACTTTTAACATCAATCTATACGTTGGAGACAAGGCAGTTGTGCTTTTATCATTGTCAGAGGAGTGGGTGTATGTGACCTTGACACTAAGAGTAGACTTATACAGTGCTAAATATCGTCCTCCCTCCCCTTGCTGCAGTGCAATTTTTTTAAGCGTGTTTATTCACTGGCTTTTGTTCCATTGAAATCTCCATCTCTTGCATCCATTTCTTCATCACCTCCTTCTGTTGCGTTCTCAATTACTCTTCTGCCTCCAGATCTACGGGGTGGGACAAAAGATGCTGGCTCATTTCCCCTCCTGTAGTAAGAGGAAAAAAATAAAAATCAGATGTTAGGTCATTTGCAGTCCTCACAAATAAGCATAGAGTTTTTTAACAGTACCTGTGGGGCTTATGTATTTGAATGCAGAACAGCCAAGAGCTATGGGCCTCTAATACAACTTTCTGCTCTGTAGCATATAAGAGTAATTTGTGGACAGGTTGAGACTCCCAGTTGCTTGGATCTGTGATAGGATTCCTGTTCTTGTGCTTAAAATTCTCCTCTAAATAGTCTCATCTACCCCACCCCCATCCGCTCTTCCCTTCATTTCACTGTTATTCTCTATGAGGACTGCAACTGGTTGTGCTTGGAAGGAATGGGAAAGGGGGCTGCTTGTACCCACAACAGCAGGGGAGTGTCCTTCCTGTCCCTTCAGAAGAGCAAGGAGAGAGAGCGCGAGCTTGTGCTGAATTTCTGACCTGCAGTCTGGGTAAGCCCACCAGGTACTGAAGGCCCATGAGACCTGGGACTGGAGCAGTGCTGTGGATGTCAGCAGGCATTTTTGAGCCCACAGTCCCCCTCTACAAAGGCTGTGTTGCGGAGTACCACAGCTGCTTTGATGTGTGTGGCATCCTAGGTTGTGAGTAGCTCCAGTCTCTTTCCCAGTGGAGAGAGGAAACCATCACTGCTTTGGAACTGTGTTGCAACTCAGGTGCTGACACTTAACAGTGCAAGTGTCTTGCAGAAGAGCTTACATAAAATGCTTTTTCCCATCTTACCCCCTTTTCCTCTCCCATCTCCCTCCCATCCCCATATGTTTCAGAGCCACAGCCCAAGGCAGGGACACTTTGGTCCTCAAGGTTAATTTTTTGGGGAGGTGTGAACAAGTGAGACAGAAGATGGGTTTGTCTCTTCTTGGCCTCCATTGCTACTGTGCTACAAAACGTTTAAGTTTTGTAACATGGCCTCTCACTTGCCCCTCGTTAAGCAAACCTTTGTAAAGGCTTGAGACCACAGACATAAGCAATAAAATAAATTCATGATCACTGAATGTTGTGCCAAAATGACTAATTTGGTGTTAAATACATCTGACTGCACTTTTGGGTACAGCAATCATGCATAAATATTTAAAGGCTTGTCTTGTCCTTGCAGAAGACTAAGCCGGTGTTGTCCTTCCTGAAGCAGCTATTTAAGCCCGAAGTTCAATCTTCCGTACAAGGGAAGCAGGTGGAACATTGGCTGGACTAACTTATTTCAGAGGCACAAATCTGTGCTTCCAAGGTAGAAATGTGACATGTAGTCTGTTTTCCACAATTCTGCCTTTAAACTTCAGTGTGAGCAAGCAATTAGCTGGATAATAAAGCTTCATTTAAGATCTGCTGTTAATTAACCGTAGTTGTTCTGGTGCCAATGGCATGTATTGAACACAAGGGTATGTCATTTCTACCCTGGCATGTGCTTGACAGAGTCTTAACAGCAGTGTCTACTATTTTAGGATAGCAGATATTTGTTATTACAGTTTAACAAGAAAGTTCTAGTTAGGTCAGTAAATTCATTAATTTTTGTCACTAAAGGAAGAGCTTTCTACCCCTTTGGACTCCTGCTGTCTGGACTCAGTTACGAGTAATTTGTAAGATAAATCTCTTTATGATGCAGTAATTCACTGAAGTGCTATAAGAGAACATGGGAATGGTGGGGAGTAGCAGTGGGAGTCTAACCAAATTGTGCAGTACGGTTTTGGCTACAAAGAAGTGAACTCGCTACCACATATTCACTACTCATTAACATAAGCTGTTGCAGTATGCATAAACTTCATACTTCTTTAAACTGGTATTGGTCCTCTGGATAAACACTTTTTGTTTATATTTGTTCCTCTTAAACAGGTTTATGGGTTTGATAATATTCATGTGGTCATTTGTATTAGTACCTTTAGAATAATGTGTATAGTTGAGAAAAGCCTTAAGCATTAGTGTTTGCTTAGCATCTCTGTATTTTATCTACCTTTGAACAAGTGCTACTGGAGCAGTGCTTGAATAACAGCCTGATGGGAAATATTAGGCTGACTGAAAGGCACATGCAAGGACAAGACATCGTCTTTAAATATTTGTGTATTCCCAGC